CGGATTGTTGTCAAAGGACGTGAAGTATATCGAAATTAAGACTAAGTGATAATCTCCTTGTGCATATCAAAGCAATGATATTCATAAAACTTAATATCACGTTTCACATAAAAATTAGAATTTAATCACAAGGTACTAATAGCGCTTTAATGTGGCGTCTGCAGACAAAATTAAAGGAATAATGTAGTTTCAAGCCGACTGTTTCCTATGAATATTTCTGCCTACAAAATAATATTTTATGCAGTAGAATTGAATTGCATCTCAAGCAACATTCATTCAGCTTCAGTGCTTGAAGTTTCATAGTTTGATCTTTTTACTAATTGAATCATTTAGACTGGAATATCCATAAATCGTTGAAACATGTTGGGATGCATAAGACTTTCAAAATAATTCAAGATACTTGATTTTTTCGTCGAAATGGTCTTATGCTTTTTGTAAACTAAAGAAAATAATGCATAGCACGTAAAGTTTTTTGCTATGCGATTAGTTTGAACGTGAGGTTGAAGCGTTTTTCTGGTACTAGTATCCTAAAATGAAATGTTTGCCTTCTCTATATGTTTTCCAAAATTACAAAATCCACAAATAAATCTGTCAAGTTGCAGTTTCTCGAATGTACAAGATCTACCTTTCTCTCAAATTTTTTTTATTTCAAATTAGACTTAATAACGTGACTCCGCCTTCACAGCGGAAGTTTACGCACAACTGACTGCATGCATTTGTGACGAATAGCTCATTTTATACTGACTAGTAAGAAATTGTATGGAAGTATTTATTTCATGTATGCGTGCTTGCTCTAATTTAAGCCAATAAATAATTCTTATTCTTTCTTCGTCTTAAATAAGACTTTCGCACACAAATGCGACCGCACACAAATGCGACCGCAATTTAATAACTGACCTGCCATTTAATAGACTGTAAAAAACTTATCTCATAGTCAAATATTAAAATCGGTGGTGAGCGGTAGCAGAAATAAGATATGGAAGGAAGGCGTGTTATTTTATGAAGTATTAATAATAGCTTCTAAAATGCTTTTACCTGTAAGGTTCTTGCAAAAGTTTGAGGATTTTTGCTTGACAAAAAATAATTTTCAATTTCCTGAATCATTCAAATCACATTTTCAACTTTAAGCAAAAATGTAAGACAATTAAATATTTCAAAATTGGAAAATGACTTCAAAAGCCAAATATTTTTGATGTTTCTAAATTCATTTATCAAGATGTTTTATTGATAAAAACTGTTATTAACTAGGAGGATTTTTCAAAAAATCATTATTTCAATTAATTTTTACAGTAGTAAGTTGCAAAACTTAAAGACAAATGAATATTCTACCTCGGAACAACATTCATTTCAATCGCACGCCGATAATGCGCATTTGCATGGTATTTGACAAAACTTTTAAAAATCGCGATCATAGTTTTTGCTTGAATATTTTTCATCATAAAATGACTTTTTATTAGCAAGCAGCAATTTTGGACAATAAAAAAACATCGTTGCAATTTTGATGTATGAATGTTAGCAATACGGCAAAAAGCATAATCAAAATTTTTTGTCTGCGTATTAAATAGTAAATTGGTATCAATTTTAGTTCTACCTGATTTCATGGAAACACCACCAAATCAGCAATGTAGTGATTCATTCGGAATTCAATCCAAGGAGTTGAGAATTGTTTCCACACAGTCTTCAACTGAAGACATAAATAATTCAACTGCTGAAACTTCTGAATCTTTCCAGAAACCAGCGTCAAAAATTAAAACTGCTTTGATGCGAAGTACTTATTTTTCTTTATTCCGTATGACGTAAATATACTGCTCGCTCAATTAAAATCAACTTAAAATTACAATGAAATAAAAAATTTAGTCACAAAAATTATTGACTTGCACTTGGGGAATTCACAGTTGACAAATTTACTTATTATGGAAGAAATAACTTTCATTCTCTAATGTAATGATTGCTGTAATGAGTGAATACTGTCTTTGGTACATAGCACTTTTCCAAAAATATTAAAAATCATTTTTTCGCCAATTTAGGTGCTGAAACTAAGCAAAAAAATCTTGACGTCAATCACTGTTATCTACTTTTAACGTTTTTACGTTTATTTGCGATGGTGCTTTTGATTTTAGCCTGGATGGTTGTTGTATCATTTCCTTGTTCACGATTTAAGTATCACGTTCCAACGTTCAATCACGGTATTTTCTTCAATGCTAAAATTATGCGATATATCTCTTCCATTTTTCAATTAAATCATTGTGTAAATGTTTATGCAATTAAATACTGGTTAAATTTCAGGGAATTTAGAAAAAAAAGAAGTAATAATACCGATGAAAGAAACGTGCTATTTGATGCCTTTCTGGTGGGTACAAGATCAACAATTCGCTAATCACCTCATAATCACTACCAAATACTACGAGGCATTGAATTATACACAAGAAAATGAGCACAAATGTTTGGATTTGCTCGAAAATTTCGAATCAAAACAACTTCTTGCGCCTTATAAGGGACAAATGTGATGCCTAACGCTTTGAAACTTTGAGTATAATAGAAAATGCAAACTAGATATGACATACTCAAACAAAATATTCTTTATTCGTCTGTTTTTTATTTAATTTTTTGCAACTTAAGATAAAAGTTAATAACAACACAGTATTTTCTCAGAAGCACTTCAAGTTCGTACTTGAAAACTATTAAAAAAAATAACACAAAAACTTATGTAAGCGAATATTTTGTCCATAGCTTAGAATACGAAAAAGTTAAAAGTTAATTAAATGATGAATTAGAATGTTTCATAAAATAAGCACATTTTTAGGTTCGTTGCTTCTGGATGCGTTATCCTAGCATTCCCAGTTTTGTCAGCATTAGTTATAATCCCGTGTGCTTGCAGAAAGGATCTTATGGAAGAAGCTATGTTTGATCTCGTAGAAATTTCACTTTTCATCGTTTTCGCAGCTGTGGAAGTAATGAGTAACGTGTTCATTTTCATTAAAAAAATAGTCAACTATTAAAACAAATATCCATATTAACACAATTAGAAATTTAAAAATTTAACAATATGATAATAATCGGTCTTTTTGAAAATAATTAAAGTAAATAAATATCTTAGACAAGTCAAAACAAAAATACCAAAAACAATTTGTATTGTATTTTTGTAATGTTAATGAGACGTTTCATACATTAATGAATTGTCTTATTCAATATAATACAAATTAAGTGTGATTATAAGTATAATCAATATGCTAAAATGAAGGTAATGTGAATTGCAAATGAGTTCATTTAAAAATAAATAAAGTAAACATACAGATTTATCCCAAAACCTCTAATTTTATTATAAAACTTTTTAAACCAGCCAAAGAACGATCTTACAGTAGAACTTGTGAATATTCCAGTCTTAGATTTTATATTACTTTATTAAAATTATAATACTAAACAATTTAAAATCGTAAAAACTTTAGTATTATCTGGCAACTTCCGCTGAAATCAGACGTCTTTTTGATATGTTATGCATTAAGTTTGTGGAGCGTTCAGTGATAGCAAATAATTTGGTCAGTTGTATGAAGTTTATCTTCAATTTTTATTACATTTCATATAATTTTTAAAAATAAAAAATTTAATTTGTTTTTCAACTTTATGAAGTGCTGCTGCCTTTAAAATAAACAATGCATTTTAATCTAAAACTAATTAAAAGTGGAAAAACGTTTTTTAGCTCAATAATTTTAATAAATTAATGAATTTTTAACTCAGAAAGAAAATATATACAAAATTTGCATGGATGTACAAATCACTTCTTATGGGTTTATTTTCGCAGGATCTGTGTTCTCTCTGCTTGTTCTTCTTCTCGTCATTGACTTAATCATTTTATTAAAAGTTAATTTTATTTATTTATTCTTCAACTTCTGATTTTTATTGGAAGAAAAAGTATCCAAAACAAATCTGATTTAGTTATCAATTTTATGTTTGGCAAAATTTTAAATCATTAAATACTTATTTGTGCAGTAGAACAAACCAAAAATCATTCATTTTAAGTTTAGATTTAGATGAAAACTTGCCATTTACATTTTCTCAAAACTGCGTAAGATTTGCAAATTCCTTGCAGATTAAAAGTTATTTGAGTTGCCACTCAGAACAGCAATCAAATTAGTGAAAAACCATCTTATCAAAAGATTAAAAGTGAAATTGTTTATTTTGAGCTTTCGAAAGTTTATAAATGCTTACAGAATGCAGAAAGAATCGAATCGCAAAAATATTTGCAAATGGCAGCTTGCTTGCATTATGGTGAGCCATTAGAAGAAATAAGTAATTCAAGGAAAGAAGCTGAATTTACAAATGAAAGTAAAAGTCTTGCATATTATCCATACTATTTACTTTACTTGTCAGAAAGTTGCATGAATTTTCTTGTTAAAAGTCATTTTAGAAGTGAAGATAAGTCAAGAAAAAAGAAATAAGCTAATTAAACAAATTTTATTTTTTATATAATGTAAATTATTTAAAATTGACTATTTTTCCAGATGATTTAATGTTTAGTCAAGTCAAATACTAAACAAATCGAGGCAAACTTTTCAAAGTTTTCATCAAGTCATTTCTTCCATCCAAGCCAACTTTGTCTTGTGAATTGTGCTCAATAATCTTTTTACGTGATCAGATGTTATATCTGATAGTAATTTCAGAAACTCTTACTTCTGCACAACTATTGTTTGAAAGTTTTGCATCAAAATATTCATGCTTTGGCATTCACATACACTTATGTAGCAATTGCCATACATCAAGTATTCCTAGTTCATATAAATGTGTTTGAACAAATAAATTTAAGTGTGGCTATGACGTAAAAGCGGACATTTTTGAAGGCCACTGTTTCCTATGTATCGAACTATTCAAAGAGACTGTTTGCGTCATTACAGTCAATAAAATTTTATAAATAAATAGAGCCTTCCCAAGACTAAAATTAAATTTTAGGATATTTATTACAAACATCAGGCGTCGAGCACTCTTCAATTTCAGAAAATGATGTCCATCGTAACGGCTTGACGAAGTCGAGATTATTAATCTCGTCTTTAAAACAGTCTTTCATGATTAATTCTCAGTCTTTTGGTGCTTTATTAAAGAATTTCAAACAGTTTATCACTTTGAATGATTAACTTCGATTTTTGTAGAAATTCAATTTGTCAATGTATGCCTTGTCAGAAACTGAATGAATGTCTGAAATAGTCTTTAATAGTAAAATATTGAAATAAAAAATGAATTGAATATTACAGTGATGAAAAGTAGAG